AAATATTATTTTATTAGAAGATGTAAATAATTCAATTCACTCTTCAGTTTAATGATGATCTGCATGAAAAGACAAAGTTGAAAATTCACAATGTTAAGTGGTTATTGAATGTTCTGGAGCCTTGATGCAAGGCTGGTAGCCTTCACAAAATTGAAAAATTTCTTTCTGTCATTTTCTTGTTTTTTTGCCAACATTTTTGGCCAATTTACAATGGTAATAGGACTGAGCGGAGTCTAACTTGGTCTGTTGTTATCATACACGTAATTAACAAAATTAGACAACCACGAAGCAAGAGACCAATTTGTCAATCACGAGTATGATTACAGAAAGAATTGGATGACAAAGTCTTGTCACCAATCAATCATTATTGCTACAATTTCCAAAAATAACAAATATGTTTAGGTCAAACATCTCTCCATTTTGGAAAGTCTTCAATTTTTTTTTAAGGATAAGTGGTTGTTGCTATGGTTATTGTGATTAACTCTGTGATTGATGGATTTGGCTGAGTGGACTTAGTATGATTGGCTGCTTCAACTGTCCAATTACAGGTGTGTGATTACAGCCAACTGTTTGATTACGCTGTCAATTAAAAGCTGTACAGAATGATAAGTGAAAAATAAAGCAGCTAATGCACCAATCACATTTGAAGAAATTGTAATGGTTATGATTTAAGTGCATTAGTGCACTGTTTCAGGCATTCAGTTGGCAAAACAAAATTTATGGTAAACAGAGCTATAGTAGCAGAGAAGTGAAAAAGTCTCTCTGGCTGTTTCACTTTTCTGCTCCAGTCTTTGCTCTGTTTTACTTACTGAATGCCGAGAACAAGCCAATGCCTGAAACACCCTTCTATCGTTTTAAAAATTATCTTTGTATTATCTGTGTCAAATTAACATAATCTAGTTTCAGAAACAAAGTTAGCAAAAATTATGGCCACCCAAATTTACGGTGCCGTCTATTTTCTCTGTGCTCATTGATTAAGCAGATTTTTTCATGTCATTCAATAGTTTGGCCAAAATGGCATAGGTATCTCTTCCATTCTTCATTCAGTATATTGGGTAAGACCAGCTTGCAGGCTCAACGCCCTCTGCCTATTGTAACGGGTCATCTATATTACAAAAAAAACAAACAAACAAACAAAAATTAAAATGAATTGAGTAAGCACATTACCTGCTGCAGTTAGAGCCACATGACAATTATTTATATTATGAGCCATTTCCCCTCTGTTTATTTAGCCAGCACAAAGAACTCATCACCAAACCACCAGATATGGTCTGAAAATATTTGTTGATGTGCAATTTTATCTCTTTGACTTCTCGGAGGTAAATAGAACTTGCTAATCACTTTTGAGTTAGCCAATCAGCATGTGTGAAAGGCACTATTAACTTGTGTGGTATAACCTAATTTTTCAATTCACTTTTTTCAATTTTCAATTTTTTCAATTTTTCAATTCAAGAAATTCACTTTCTTATGCAATGTAATGTGGCTTAATTAACACAACTTCCTACTGATGTGGCATTTGGGAATTCGGTTGTTTTTTGGCATGGGGCAGAATACAGGTTTAGATTAAACTTGATGAGAGGTAAGTATTTTTGTCATCAACCCTTAAATTCCCATGACTGACAAAGATATAATTTCTCCTTTCAATAATAGTATAATATCACGCAGACAAGTGATGAGAGTAAAGAAAAATATCAATTAGAGTATTATCGGCTGATCCAACACCATATTCTCCAAACTAATATCACAAGAATTGCAAGACAGACAGCAAGGAGAATTACTGATGAGCACTGGAAGATGCAGCGCTTTAATAATTTTTGGTGGTTTATTATTACTATTACTGACCCCATATGTCTCCTTGGTAAGTGGTGTGTACTGTTCCACAAAATCTCTTTTCTTCTGAAATTCTTCCAAGATCCTAAGCAAGAGGAATAACTTCCGCTTATTTGTATTTCTGGGAAGGTTAAATTCAAAAGAAAGTTAGGTCATCAGTGAGCACAGTCTTGTTATTTGCACTTTGGCAAAAGTGTTTCTTCACCTGCAGGAAAGATTGAGTCCTAGATCTACACGAGCTGCTGAGAGGCCTGCAAGGAGTTTAACACTGATAAGGAAGGACCAAGTATTCAGCAGTTTTACCCCTAAGAGTGACTGACATCTAATTTCTCCTTAACATATCCCCCTGAATCAAACATTAAGGTCAGGAGAATTAAGGAGCTGATCACAGACTAAAGAAGCTCTTGATTGTTAGATAAATTCTCTGTGTCAACATCTTAGGAAATGTTTAGAGAACAGTATGGAGAATATGCATACTGATGTTAGGATGTGAAGGGTTAAAACACTGTCCCTCTGTATACCATAATTCAAACTACAATTATTCATATTTACAGCCCTGAATGAGACATACACTGTATGTTATTAAAAAACAATGATTCAGTGATATCATAATTTAACTAAATAAAGACTTCTTGGATAAAAAAATCAAAGCAAAACAAAAAAACAAAAAAAACCCATGGAACAATTTGAACCTTGTGACTATGATGTCTGAAATCATCCACAGCTTGTGATAGACTTGTTATAATTAGACCTTTTTTCACTTTGCCTCTGGCTGGCAGCTATGTAATAGAAAAAAAAGTGTTCATACCCTACACTGTTAAGTGAGCATGAGAGATGCCATAGACAAACAGTTAGCCAATGGTCTCTGAGTTGAAAAGCCAGGCCAATTTATTACTCAGAGCAAGGAGTTTAATAATGATTATCAAACTTAGTTTTGCCAAGTTGGAACAGACATGCTGTTACAAAAGCATTCCCCCAGTCATATACATACAATCCCTTGCGAACTGAATTCCCAGTTTTCTGGGAATTCCTAGGAATTCCTAGGAATTCCTAGGAATTCCTAGGAATTCTCAAAAATTCCCAATTATGCAAATGATCCTTGCAAACTGAATTCCCAGTTTTCTGGGAATTTCTGGGAATTCCTAGGAATTCTCAAAAATTCCCAACTATGCAAATTAGCTCTGATTTAAAAAGCTTGGAATTACTGGGAATTTCTGGGAAAGGAAGACTCCAGTTTTGTGAGGACTTGGAATCCCTAGGAATTCCTAGGAATTCTCAGCTTTACAAACTACCTATAATTTAAGAAGTGTGGAACTCTTGGGAATTTCTGGGAATTGAATTTGAGGCAATTTTAATACCCTGAGGTCCACATAAATTCTAAGAAATTCTCAATACCTTGAATGTGAAGGTTTTAAGAAAAAGAGTAATTTCAGAGGCTTAAAACTTTGGCTCAATAAAAGGTATGCTATACAAAACTTACCAAGAGATATACATACATGTACATGTTTATAACTTAAAGATCATGAAATTTATTACTCAAACTAAGTTTTAGTAAATCTTTACATTAATATGGATTTTCTCATGAACCAGCTGTCAGTTATGTTAAATAGAAATTGCCAACTTCCACAATAATTAACAATAATTACATTGTTATCTTACTTCCCTAACCTACATTACTGGTTGCCTTTGTTAGAAAACCTTGGAACAGTCAAGCTCAGTTGCCTCCAACGCTGTCAGAGACTTTTTGTTGACAATACTTTTAGTAGAAATTTCATGCCTTAGACAAACAAATTCAACACCCAATTAATCTTTCTTTTTTCATGATTGTTGTTGCTGCTTTTTTTTTCAGTTTTTTGCTCTATTTTCATGACTAATTGCTGTAATTTGTTTTGCTGTTTTTATTCTTACAAAACATTTTTGTAAGAGTTCCAATACTTGTGGATCATCCACACACTTTGCAAACATTTGGCATGCAGACAAGACAGAGGTAGTCAATGTTCCCTTTGAGGAAAAACACCTTTTATATGACGTCTTCAATTTACTTTATTTGAAACTCTGATCTGATATATTTGTCAACAAGACTTGTTAGTAGTGAGAAATACCAACTAAGTTTCCTTTCATAACTTAATTTCTTAAATGTCCCAATCACTGGATCTCCCAAAAAACATGACATCTTTTTATTTTTGGTGCAAATTACAAGTCCTTCTTTATATAAAAATGAAAAGTGCTAGTCACACTTCAATAATAACAGCTCTTACGTTTACTTGTTGCTCTTCTCTGTCTGTCAGCTATCAACAAAATTGTTTTATACTTCGGGCAGTGCATAACTATTTGTGGACCAGAGTTCCAACGCACCTCTGTAATCGCATATAGCTACTTCTGTCTCTTGTACAAATGTTTCTCCTTTGTAAGACGCACTCTACTCTGTTGTCAATACTGCTTTAAGTTCAGTGGAAACGACTGACTGAGGAATCGAGATGGCGGTGTTGGAACGTGTTGCTGAACGCTTTCTACAGTCAAGCTTTGTAGATTTAGGTACTGGTACACTGGGATCATCCATGTATCTCTTATACTTCCGAATGTGGTATCCTTCTTTTATAAATATGAGGGTAAAAGACGATTTGTAGTCGCATTCAAAACTGTGATTGGCTTGTGTTATTTCTCACCTTTGCCATTAACACAACTCAAGTGAGTTTCGAGTCTTTGTTTCCTCGACAACTTTCGGCCACAAAACGAGCATTTGTATTACGATCGATTCTTGTCGATTATTTCTACATAGAGTGAGCTCACATCTTTATTTATATCACCAAGCTATCTGTTTCAAGATCCGTTTTTATCAACCATTCAGTAGCATACAGCGTTGTAAGACAATACAGATGTAACTCGATCTCAGTCTAGTTAGACATTGATGGCGCATGTAATCACGTACATATTGTAACATCCTCCCTTTTTTTTTTTTTTTTTTTTTTGTGAAGAAAAGCTTGGAAAAAAGAGAAAAAGAAAGAAAGAAAAAAAAAGAAAATTAACCAATAAAAGTGTCAATGTCAGTTCAGTTCAGAATCAATGCCATAGGACAAAATCTATCAGCTGGTGAGTTCGACATGAGAGGATTGGTAAACGAGAACACTGAACCCTATGATAACCGCGAAGAAGGATTTAAAGTCACGAGTCTAGTCACGGATATAGTCCTTGAGGTATGCTGGGCTCCTCCTGACTCGCTCTGACCTCCGACATTGTTCCGGAACAGTCACCTCTTCAGGGTGTGGCTCGTGAGGAGCATTGCTCTGGTCAGGGGTAGACGCTGCGGTTGTGGTCGCCTGTTCATCTGTGCTGGCCATATCCGGTTCTGGCGCTGTGATGGTGGGTTCAACTGGTGGTTCAGACGTTTTCCGCAGGTGCTGTCGGTTTCTGCGGTAGACTGCTCCGTTGTCCGTCTCAACGGTGTATGATCGCTCGTCGAGTCTTGCAGTGACTTTGGCCTTGCGCCAAGAGTTATCTCCAAGTTTGAATGGCTTCATTCTAACAACATCGCCTTCAGACAAACTGGGTAAATCCTTTGCGGACCGGTTGTAGTACTTTGCTTGGGCCTGCTGGCGCTGTCGCAGCTCTTTCTTTTCCACTTCCAGGTTTATGGTCCTGGGTAGTAGTAGGCTTTGAGTGGTAGGAAGGAGTGTTTTGGTCCTTCGGCTCATCAGGCGTTGTGCTGGGCTGGTCGTCGTCCCTTGTGTCGGCGTGTTTCTATAGTCGAGTACGGCGAGGTATGGGTCGGTTCCAGCCCTGATTGATTTCTTCAGAATGCGCTTGACTGTCTTCACCCCAGACTCGGCCTTGCCATTGGCTTTGCTATTTCCAGGGCTACTGGTAAGGTGCTCAAAATCCCATTTTCTGGAGAATTCAGCGAATTCGTCACTTGTAAACTGTGGTCCATTGTCACTGATCACTTGATCAGGTATACCGTAGCGAGCAAAGTGACTCTTTAGCTTCAGAATGGTGGTGCTGGCTTTAGTGTTCGGCAACCTGTCCACCTCCCAGAAATTGCTATAGTAGTCGATGGTGACCAGGTAGTCTTTGCCATCAAGAGTAAAGATGTCTGTGGCGATCTTCTCCCAAGGACGGGATGGGACCTCGTGGGACATTAGTGTCTCTTTTGGGTGCGTGGTGCTGTCGAGTTCTCTACATATTTCACAGGCGGAGATGTGGTGCTTCATTTCTGCAGACATGCCTGGCCAGTAGATACATTCACGGGCACGCCTCAGACACGCCTCTATTCCAAGGTGGGACGAGTGAATCTTCAGCTTCATATCTGCGCGAAGGCTCTTTGGTATCACAACGGAATTTCCTTTGAAAATCAGCCCATCTTGTACGGTCAGTTCGTCGCGCATACTGAAGTAAGGGTGTATCAGTGCTGGAGCATGCTCCTTCTTCTCAGGCCATCCTACGAGAATAGTATCTGACAGCTCTCGCAGACACTGGTCCTTCCGGGTCTCTGCTCTTATTTCGTCTAAACGTTGGTCAGATATGGGTAGATAACGGACCATGTTGACTGATTCGAAGTCATCTACTTCTTTTCCGTTGTAGGGCAGGTAAGCCCTTGACAGCATGTCAGCCAAATGCATGTTCTCGCCACGCTCATAGTGCACAGTGAAATCGTATTTCTGTAACCTCATCATCATTAACTGGAGGCGTCGAGGCGCTCGAGCGAGTGGTTTCTGTAGAATCGTCTCCAGTGGCTTGTGATCACTTTCGATGTGTACATGTCGACCAAATGTATACTGGTTGAAACGCTCAAGAGAGAAGACAATCGCCAGCATCTCTTTCTCTATTTGAGCATACCGGGTTTCTGTGTCGGTAAGGGAACGACTTGCGTACTCTATAGGCTTGCCGTTCTGAAGTAATGCTGCACCAAGGCCACTCTGGCTCGCATCACACTGTATGGTGAGGTCTAGGGAAGGGTCGTAGTAACGTAGAACAGGCGCTTCTGTTACTAGCCTCTGCACGTTTTCAAACGCCTGGTCTTGTTCCGAAGACCAGTTCCATGGAGCGTCCTTCCGAGTCAGGCGACGAATCGGTTCCATGACTTCAGACAGTTTCGGAAGGAACTTGGCTAGATAATTGACAAATCCGTTGAGGCGCTGAACGCCCTCCACATCTTGTGGTTTCGGCAATTTTGTGATCGCCTCTACTTTGGCAGGATCAGGCTTCAGGCCCTTGTTCGTCAGGAGATGCCCCATGAAATTTACCTCGCTCATCCTGAGCTTCATCTTGTCTGGGTTAAGGACAATGCCGCGGTTCTTGCACCTTTGTAGGAGATCTCGGAGACTCCTGTCGTGGTTTGCAGTGGCTTCTTCGTCGGTCTCTCCAGTGCCATAAATGAGGATGTCGTCCGCGATGCACAGAATACCAGGTAAGCTTTCCAATGCGTGAGTTAAATGCTTCTGGAAAATCTCGGACGAGGCGGAGAGACCGAAGGGCAAACGAATCCATCTGTACCTTCCGTAGGGTGTTGCGAAGGTCGTGAGTACGCTGGACTCAGGGGCAAGGACACAGTGCCAGTATCCCGACTTGAGGTCAACTGTCGAGAATACTTTTGCTTTTGAGAGCTCCGGGAGTATGTCCTCAAGTACAGGAAGTTGATATCGTTCTCTCTTCAGGGCGGTGTTAAGTGGCCTGGGGTCGATACAGATTCTCAGCGCTCCAGATTTCTTCACAGCCACGGCAAGACTGCTAACCCATGGAGTGGGTTCATCGATTGGAGCTATGACCTCCAATTGCTGTAGTCGATCCAGTTCTTTCCTCAGTTTCTCTTTGAGTGACGTTGGGACACGGCGTGGAGGTGCGACGACGGGAGTTGCGCCTTGTTCGACTTCAAGGTGAACTGTTCCTGGTAGTGCTCCTAGCTCTCTTTGGAACACCTCTGGGTAGGTCGCTACTATTTCGTCAGCCGTCTGCACGCTCTTAACCTTTGCCCTTGATCGTTCAGGTGGTTTTGCGATCGTGAAGTTTTGAGTGTTGACAGTAATTAGGCCCATCTGTTGAGCTGCCTTTGCTCCAATGAGTGGGGTCAGTTGTCTATCAACGACAAGGAATTCCACCGAGAACTTCTTCTTATTCTTTGGATTGTGGAGAATTAATCGACAGGAACCCAGTGGCTTTAGTGTTGTGTCGTTCCACATTTGTAGTGTCTTTGTGGTGGGCTCAAGCTTCTTATCAGCCACAAGATCGGCGGGAATGACATTCACCGAGGCGCCGCTGTCTACTTGAAATTTCACTTCTGCCTTGCCCACAAGCATCTCAGTGTAGATTACTCTTGGGTAATCATGTTCTTGTGTAACAGCGTGTATCATGTCCGGTCGTGCAACAATGCTTGTAATGTACTCCATGTCGCTGTCATCGGAGGATTCATCTCTCAAGTTGTACACTTTTCTGGTCGGAGTAGTGCAGGTTGTTGCGAAGTGATTTCTGCCACCGCACTTCGTACATTTCGCGCCCCACGCTGGACACTTTCCTTTTTCGAAAGGATGTGCTTTGCCACAAAATTTACAGGTCTTCGTCTTCCCCGCGCGGCTTTTCCTAGACTTGTCATCACGGCGGCTGGAAGGCGGGTGTTTATCTTGCACAGCGTGAACATCTTCGTTCTGGGCGCCCGAGATCGTTTTCAATTGCAAATTTGTTGCCTCAGAACTCTTGCAAAGATCGATACACTTCGCCAGGGTGAGACTCCGTTCTTGTAGAAGCCGTTTGCGAGTGCGGTGATCTTGAATGCCCAGGACGATCCTGTCGCGAATGATCGAATCACGCATGCAGTCACAAAAATTGCATGTTTTCGCTAGTGTGCGAAGGGCGGTGACATAAGCATCAATGCTTTCGTTTTCCTGCTGAGTTCTGGAGTTGAAAGTGTACCTTTCAAAGGTTTCGTTCAGTTCGCCGATGGTGAATTCGTCGAACTTTTGTATTATCTTTGCCAGATCATGTCTATCGTCTGGAGTGTCGAATTGGAAGCCGTTAAAAATCTTTAACGCATCAACACCGATACAGTGGAGAAACAATGCGACTTTGTACGCCGGCGGTTTCAGCTCGAGTTGAGCAATGACCATGTAGTTGCCCCACATTTGTTTCCATACTTTCCAGTTGTCCGCCACATTCCCAGTCGTAACTAGTTTTCCAGGAGGCATTATCCCGGCCATCGCGCCAAAAGGCGGGTGTTGCACAACTCCCAGTTGTGTTAGGGTCTGTTGCGAAGAGCCAGGTGGTGGCGCTTCAGGCGCCGTTTCTGAGTCGGACATTACTACACCAAGATGATTTCAACTGTTTTCGACTCCGTAAGTGGTAGGCGGAGGATTCGTTATCCTATTTCGCTGCCACCATGTTTCAAGATCCGTTTTTATCAACCATTCAGTAGCATACAGCGTTGTAAGACAATACAGATGTAACTCGATCTCAGTCTAGTTAGACATTGATGGCGCATGTAATCACGTACATATTGTAACACTATCCATCTTCTAGAAGCAGAGAACCGGTCGGAGAAGTCAGAATAAAGTTGGGCACTTCTCCTAACACTGCAATCGGCAAGCCAGCGGATTCTCCCTGCTAGCCAATGACAAGTCCTAAAAGATCCACGTGATCATGCCCGTGATCGGAAACAAAGAAGACTCCATTTGGCGCTCATCTTTGAATGTACTTTTCATCGGTTGATCGCTTTTCTCAACTGTTTTGCTTAATATAACATTTCTAAAGATAGCTTTTATTGTGGTTCAATGGGAAAACGAGAATAGCGTGAGTGTTGTAAAAGAAAAGAAAGTCGTTGGCGCCGTGGAGTTAAAAGAAGGGACAACAGTTGACATATTGACTGGTACAAACATGGGTCGAATGGCCGTCTGTAAAGCTACGATTTTGAAAGTTTGTGGTGAGTAAAAATTGCGATATTCGTTACGTGATCAAAATCTTATAAAAGAATAGATGTAGCGGGTTGAATTAAGCTTACATAACGCTCGGCGCAACTGAAACTAGAATAATTCTGAGAATCGAATCGGTCACTTGCATGCCGCAGTTTCTTAAGCTTATTATGCTTTACAATGAAATAAACCTATCAGTAAGGTTTCAAGATTCCTCTAGTCACGTTTGGGAACATTCAAGATTCAAAATAGGAACTGTTATTAAACAAACCTTAGTACATAAAGAAGCCCTCCTTGGTAAAAACAAAATAATGTATTCAGCCCTTTTTTAGTAAAATCCATGAGAGAGATGTACTAACTCCAATATGAAAGTCACTCAATATAACAGAGATTTCTCAATTTGAGAATCCAATGAATGCCCTTTTCCTCATAGCCATCTTAAAAGCCTGGTCTGAGCTTTAAATATACATATTTTAATATATTTTTTTTTTCAAATTCAGATGTCAAGGAATCCAGATACAAAATGGTCAAGGTTCTTGTTGACAACCTCATTCAAGGCCAACTCATTGTGAGCCCAGGAAAAAAATACAAACAGTACAAACAGCAGCTAAGTTTGCAGTTTAGGATAACTTCATTCTAATTTATTGTTACGGTTACAACAAGATTTTAATCAAAAAATCAATTTTATTTGACTGTAATTAGCCCCTTCACTCCCAAGAGAGCTTGGTTTTCAAATATAACTTAAGATATTGTATTTTATGGAAAAGAATCAACAGATTTTATTCACAATTTGTGTCAAACCAAATTTAATGATTGATTAGAACTATTTTATATGAATAGCTGTAATTGAGGATTAATCCGTATCAAATCAAAATCAAATTCCATCCTAATATTACCACACATTGATGTTAATAATTAATCAAAAATATTTTACATGTAAGCCTTAAATTAAGCTTCTAAATAAATTTCATTGAATACTTGAATTTTAGCTTGGTTTTTTTAATTTAAAGTATTTATTTTATATCATTAGCCTCAAATTTTTGCTTAAAATTCCCAGTAATTCTGAAACATTCCTAAAAATTCCCAAAAATTCCCAGAAATTCCCAGAAATTCCTAGGAATTTTTTAGATTTACAGCTTTTCAGGGAAAGTCATTGGTTCTCTGAGTTGGAATTCCTAGGAATTCCTAGGAATTCCTAGGAATTCCAAGTCCTGTTGGCTATAAACTTGGAATTTCTGGGAATTTCTGGGAATTTCTGGGAATTTCTAGGAATTTCTAGGTTTTTAGAACCAGAGTTGTTATGGTTGGGAATTCCTAGGAATTCCTAGGAATTCCCAGTCCGAATTTACCGTGAAAATTCACACCTTTATTCCTAGGAATTCCTAGGAATTCCTAGGAATAAATTCCTAGGAATTCCTAGGAAAATCCTAGGAATTCCTAGGAATTCCAAAAGCCATTTCGCAAGGGATTTCTGCAAGAAAATTGTCAACACATTACCATTGGAATGGCAATATACCAGAATAACATACCAATTATATTCCTTACTTTCAACTCTTCTTCTCATGTACAATGTTTCTTTAATTGTTTTACACCAGAAGAGATATTGCAGTGAATTACAGTTCACTTTTTCTACTCCATTTCTACATACTTCCTTGGAAGTGGCTCAGTGGATGTTGTGTCAACTGATTTTGTCTTAAAAACATTTATGACCACTAAAGATGAAAATAGTAATTGTTGATTTTATGAAACATATACCTACTATGGAGTTTAAACCAAGTGTCGTTTTGCCATGGTATGCCATTTTACAAATTTTTGGGGGAAAATCACCCACACTAACAGGGATCGTGGCCAAATACCTGTAAGACTTTCATTTCCTCTTTCAAAAACATCTGCAAAGGCTGAGTGGCCGACAACAAGTTCAAGAAATCTGAAAGACATAAAAATTACAACTTTTGAGATGGAAGGGCGTGAAATTGCTCCTAATACAAGCGCCAATGCTACTAAATTTTTCACTTTGGCAACCAAATCCTCAAAATTCGTCGCCAAATTGGCGATTAGAATTTTTCATCATAACCTTACCTATAGATATAGTGAATTAAAAAGATTTGCAGAGATAAATCCGCGGCAAACTTCCTCGTTAAGTTTGTTTCCAAAATGTAGCACATGCATCTTGATCGATAACTAGACGCCATCTTGGATTTAGATGAGCCTGAAGGTTGTTTATCATCCATCCTAGTGTCTACTTTGTAGCGCATTAAAGATCTTTTCCCAAACTTAACTTTGAGGGTCTATCTAGAACGCTGACAGCGTAAAAAAAAGGTTTTGTTTGTCTTTGAAAATGGCGACCAATTTTTTTATATTGGTTACCACTTTGAAGAATTTAAGAGCCAAGTGGCTATCAGAAAAAAAAATAATTTCACGCCCTGGATGGGCTTATGCAATGTAAACATTTGAATCAATGGTCCAAAGAACTGAGTGAGTGGCCATTGCCAGAGCTAGTCCCAATATCAGTAAAATAACAACTGGAAACATTTAACTAATCGCACTGAATGCCAGGCTTATTCATCGCTGATATGCGATGCATACCCTTTCCCTTTCCCCTTTCCCTTTCCCCTTTCCCCTTTTTCAAGTTTCTCTGATAGTTCGCCAATTTCCCTTGATATTCAATGTTGAAGAGCATCATATTGACAATAAAGTGGTAACATATTGCCCTCAAGATTATATCACAGTGACCGGCCCACCTTGGCTCAAATTTGAAGCCCTCGATCAGGAGTTCCAGCGTACTATTTACTAAACCACCGCAATTCCCAACTTTGGTATATCCTTTCGTCGTGTCCTTTGTGACAGTAGCGTCTGAAGGTTACCTCCACTACAAAACAACCCACACACGAAGCATGAAACAAATACTCTTATTCTGGCTGAGTAAGGCATCAAAAAACCTAAGATTTTGTCTTGTTTCTGAGTTCCAGGGCGCGTTCGCTTGGATGACATGGTGTAATGACATGGTGGGCGTAAGCTAAAAGATACGCCACTGGGCATTACTGATGGTTTGTAAGGAAAGGAAGGTTTTTTTTTTTTATCAAAAATTCCTGATTTTGTTGTTTGCTGCTCGTAAAATGAAGAGATGCATGAGATAAGTTGGTAAAGCAAATAAAAAAGAAATGATTAAAAAATATTTCCCTCCTCCCCTCCCTGAAATGTTTGAAGTGACCTAATGGCGCTTAGAAATCATATGACGCTAAAGAGTCGAAAAATATATATTTTTTCTTTTACTTCAGTGTATTTTTATATAAACTTTACAGTTCGGTACTTTCCAATGAAACCGCTATCTCTTATCTAAATTCCCTCACCGGCTGACACCCGCCACGTGCGCGGTGGCCATGGGTTTTCTTCATCATATGAACTCTCGTTGGTCCAACCATGTTAATTTTAAACTTTCCTTGTAAATGCATACATTGTTCTGTTTCTATTGTTTTTTTTTTTTTTCAATCAGCATTTTGTTATACACTCTAAATTCAACTTTGTACTTTGTATTATTCTGAACTGAAGATGACAGAAGAACTGTCGAGACATAATTTTTTAATTTTAAAAGTGTCGTTAACTTTCTTAAGTTGGCTACATATCTGCTTGCATCCAGACCTTTTACCTAAAAATTTGAAGCTCTTGACAAAGTGAGTCAGTGGTATCCCATAAATCAAGAACCCATCTTTATTACCTTTGAAACTTTGAGCAGAAATTTTCTTAGATGCCACTTACAAAATAAACACCCTTAAGCGCTGAAAAACTCTCACATGCTTTCAACGGATAAAAATGTTTCCGTGTGGGTTTGGCACGTTTTTCAACTGGTCTGCTCGATTTGTACCACAAGGATCATGAGTGGGCCAATGGCTACTTTTGCTCCCATCAAAGTAATAAAATTGACCTCCTCCACTAAAGGAAGGTCCATTCGCATGAAACTTCCAGGATTTTGGTACCGCTCCACCGCAGTTCTTAGCAACCTGTTTGACCAGTTTACAGTGGATCGATCCCTTCTTCTGTTTCACTATGCTGCCAGTGCCTTCCTTGCATGCGAACCAGTTGTTGATGTTGCTCTTGATTAGGGTTTCCTTACCAACGCTACCCCACAGAGCGAAGTCCATGGCCTCATAATGCGTCTCGCTCAGTGGAACTGTTTTGGACACTCGGACGTTGGAGCCGCCGGCTGACCAGGATGGACGCGGGACGACAGCGTTTGATGCAGCTGTGAAATGTGAGTAATCCCTTAAGGTATAGCTGTAAACTAATGTCCAACCCCCTCCGTCCGTTAGCTGGTCGCAGTAGGCCTGGAAAGCATTACTGTGGGAACCACCATCAGGGTCTATCCAATAGACGCCTGACACGACTGATGGTAATTTCTGTTTGAGCTCCTTGCAAGTTAGAGCTGCAAAGTCCTTTGAGAATCCTTTTGAGTCCAAAAAAAAAGGTAACAATTAGTCAAAGAAAATCACTAAGCTACCCGTTGTGAAATATTTAGAAGAAGACTATGAAAAGGCAAGTCAATAATATTAAATCTATTTGAAGGTACACTAAAGATATATGTTGTAATTCTTGCGTAAGAGACACCTACTTTAAAATCCAAATCGCGACAATATCACAATGTATGTATGAGAGTGAAATGCAAGGGCGTGAGGTGAAATAAATACGTGCTGATATTCTTGGCGAGATTCTCTTCTAATAAGTTTATACCGATGTCTTTAAAAATAAAAGAGAAATGTCACACCTATTTTGCTCTGTTCTGCCAAACTGTACGTCCCATTTCTCAATCGTTTGATAATTTCGTTCTTGCAGAGCAGCAACGTCTTGTAAAGATATAGATTGCCTTTTGCATCCACGTCCAACACTCTGAAGCGTCGCTGATCCACCCCCCTGCTCTCGGAGATTATAAACAAACAATCTTGTTAATTTTAAAAGTGTCGTTAATTTTCTTAGGTTCGCTACATATCTGCTTCTATCCAGACCTTTTACCAAGAAATTTGAAGCTCTTGACAAAGTCAGTCACTGATATCCCATAAATCAAGAACCCATCGGTTCTAAATATTTTTCGGTTCTAAAGATTTCTTGAGTAGGATGTATGTATGGGCAGCCAAAAATCTAAGGTAAACTTAAATTCATTCAGTGGTGTAAAAGTTAAAAATACCCTGAGGTCGAGAAGGAAACGAAATAAAAGATCATCAAATGAAACAACATCATTCCAGTGTAAAGATCCTGTATTGATCGATGGCTTAAATAGAATTTTCTGTCGATCCTTTTGTCGAGATCCAGGTTGCAATACTACCGGCCGATAAATATGCTTTTAAATGTTTAAAGTCTTCAAAGAAACAGGATAAAACTCGTGGTAATTGATTTTTAATCTCAATCATCTATGTCATCTAATTAACAAAGATTTTGTGACAGTATTGATGTTTTGACAGCTGATGACACCATTTGCCCTGAGGAGTTTACAAGGAAAACACACGATTTTGCACTCAGGATGACTATCAATGAAAATAACACAAATTTTTTTACAATGTACTCAGGCGAGATAGTTGGTGAGGTAAACAATAAACTAGTTTGTACTTTAAGATAATCTTGTGCAGCCTTCTTTTATAATTTTAGATGTAATCAAGCCAAGTGCATTAGATATTTTAATCAAACATAATATTATACCCATAAAAACGTATTTACATTCCACTGACCGATTCTTGTTAATCAAAGAAAAGTTGTGAGTTCCTACATCGACACAAAAAGAAGGGGCATTTGTAAATAACGTTATTTCTGGTTGAAAGAAAATCTCAAAAGCACTTAAAATTTTAAGTGCAAATACCTCTTTGCGGCGTTAATTTTTTATATATTTTACACCGTCATTTATGAGTTAGTTCGAGCATGAAATGAACATGTTCGCGAATTCAGTCGTCGTATGTAAATTTACGACCTAGTCAACTTAATTTTGCGTTTTGATGTACTGAAAAATTAAAGCGTATGTGAAATTATTTCGAAAAAACAGTCGACAGAGAGTAATCATGAAAATAGAACATCAAAAGATGTCGTGCCATTACCAAGTTGCGTCCACCCTAAGAGAACGTGTGTGGTGTCGATGATAAATCGTGTCCAAAAAAATTGTGGTTTAGTTTTGATTTCGTTCTTGAAGTGGAAAAAAAGGAATTGTTGATGGGCCGCTAAAAAGGATACGCGACTACTGGCTGTTGATGATGGTTTGTAGGGAAAGAAACGCCGTTTAAAAGTTTTAAACATATAGCGTCAGTCACATTTAAGAGCTAATGTCAGCATGCATCAAACAAACAGCGGCAAGTCACCCAAATTTTTTCTCCCTCCTACTTTTATATTTTGTAGCCCAATATGTTCTAATAATTATGGTGTGGTTTTTTTGTAAAAATATATTTTAGTTTTCGAGAAATAATTTTTTTCGTTCGACCGCTCAAATATGCAAATTTTCACCGTGAATATTACCCGAGTTGTGTGACCTCATGTATCGAATGTACCGGACCTTCGGTATTTCTGTGAACATAATCCTTTGTTTTATCATCTAAACTTAATCCCCTGTCGTTATTGAAGCTGCCAAAGAAATATTTACTTTTTGGTGAATATTTTTGTGCGACATACTTTTCCTATGTCGAAAAGTAGCATCAAAACAAAAACAGTTTTAACAATGACCGATATGACACAATCTACTGAGCTTCAAGCTTTCATAAGACAAAAGGTCGGTTACAAAGTTACTGTAAAAATTTCCTTGTGTATTTGTGTTGTTCTATCTTAAGACGAACTCAAAGTCCGGCAAAATCTACTAGATAGCGACTATGAAATGTACATGGTGCGCCTTCTTGTCGCCACCGTTAACTGGCATAAATCACTACAATTTGCAAAAAAAATCTAACATAACACTCTTATCTTGTTTATTTATGATTTTATTAGCTGTTTCGATGATCATGTTAATTATGCTCTACCACATTCTAGCCAGATTGGAGTTCCAGTTTATATATCTTCTCTAACTTATTATATCAGTTGCGTGACAAGCGTGACACAGAAATTCAAAGATGAGTCAACCTTCGAAATACCAAGAGATGGGTTTTTTTCCTCTTTGCATGACATCTAGAAAAACCTTTCCGAGAAAGACCAAGTCTTATCGAGAAGACCAAGTCGTTCCCTTGCGTGATTGTTAGAAAGACATTTCATGTCACCTGCCGAGTTGCAAGTTGTTAGATCCAGAAAATGAAGTTGATCTTAATTTTGTCGCGTGCCGGCATCTTCGAGACGCCAAAGATATCGATGATTTTACAAATTGCCCCACTCACAGATCAAATCCCGGTGTTGGGTGGAATCGTAGTTCCAATAGCAGATGTAGGGTGTCAAAAGAAATGTCCGGCCATGGTAAAGGTAGGGTTCAGTCGATTCCAAAAGCTGATAGGGGAATTAGCAAGCGTGTCACAGATAATGCTCAAGATGTCTGGGAAATTCATACAATCTGGCTTCGGTAAGTAGGCTACTTACCACCGTGAGCAAAATTACGCGTGACTTCAGAGTTAAGTTTCGATTGGGAATTGGTCAATAGGCTACCAAAAATTTAAACAGACAGAGGCGGAGTTTTCTGAAGTAATGTCTGAACACCTTATTGGCTTTCCGCCGTCTGGGGGGACGCGTAATTATGCACACGGTGGTAAAGGGCCCTTCCGCACTAGCGACTAGACGCTGACAAAACATGTTTCTCTTCGCCAAAATCACATCAGAATTTGTCCTTGCTAAATGTCAAGTGTGCTGCACGTATTAGCACCCTCGGGGGACCCCTTTACCTAAGAGGCCGGGGTGCGCGCCTGGAATTTCGAAAACGACCGCTATAAAATTATAAAAGGTGCTTAAGTCTTATCCGTGTGGGAGTGGCAACAATTAACCTGTAAAAACAAGTCTTTATGTCCTTTTCTGTCTTTTTCAATGCTTCCCTCGCTCCTACAGAGGATTCATACAAATATGAGAGCCGTGCCGCGTTTACATTGTACGGGCAGAAAAGGTAGTCCAGAATGAGTGTTTCGTTCTGTAATGAAAACCCCAATAAACTCACTCAGAAATGACTCATTTCGAATAAACTTTACGCTGGTTATTATATTATGTGGCAACCGGTATGAACTCTTTCTTGTACAAAACTCATTCGGATATCATGTAAAAGGCCCCTAAAAGTTTTTATTCCCAGAGCATCACGCTTTGCTCGCCTGTCTGAATACTAAAAATTTCAGTAACGTTGAAGGAAAAACCCGCTTTTAACAGCTTCGCTGCCGCTGAAACAACGATTTGTGAAGAAAGCACATATTTTAATATTTTCAATTCAACGTAACAAAAATCTTTATAAATGGTAAATATTCACTTGTGTCGGTATCAACTATTGTGTGACTAGCTTATGATCTAAAAGAGGGAGGGGAAAATGTCGCGTACCCTAGTGTAGGGAACGGTAAGTGTCAACCACAGCATGCCAAACTTGATTTTCTCAGCTTTATTTACAAACCAAATATCGCACACATGCGGTGAAAACTGCGTAACAAATTATGATTGCGTAATTAGAAACAAAGCTAAAGAAATTACAAGCAAAAAAGCGATCAATATGTACAATGGTAACTCACGTCTGATCCTGCGTAAAAAGAAAGGTGAGCAAATAACTCCGAAAAGGCAACTCCGGTGACTCCAAAGGGAAAACTCCAACTACTCCGATACTGAATACTCCGATCACTGCGTGGTTACGCAAGCGATTCCTTATTTAAGCTAGATTGATAGATAAATCACATGGTACAATAAGCTCCGATTGAACAATGGAACGATAAAAAACGATCATAAAAATAAACAAAGCTGCAATGATTGAATTATATATGGAAACAAAACACGAATTCTAAAGTTTCTTTTCGCTACATTACGGATACTTAAACGTTCATCACAGAAAACACAACGCAAAACCTGAACTCCTGTCAAAAAGTAATACTCAGGCGTAATATAATAATCGAAACGGCTAATAAAATCAAAAATAAACAAAGTAAGAGTGTTATGTTAGACTTTTTTACAAATCGTAGTGATTTATGCCAATTAACGGTGGCGACAAGTAGGCGCACCATGTACATTTCATAATCGCTATCAAGTAAATTTTGCCGGACTTTGAGTTCGTCTCAAGATAGAACAACACAACAACAACAAATACACAAGGAAATTTTTACAGTAACTTTATAACCATCCTTTTGTCTTATGAAAGCTTGAAGCTCAGTAGATTGTGTCATATTGGTCATTGTTAAAACTGTCTTTGTTTTGATGCTACTTTTCGACATAGGAAAAGTATGTCGGACAAAAATATTCACCAAAAAATAAATGTTTCCTTGGCAGCTTCAATAACGACAGGGGATTAAGTTTAGATGATAAAACAAAGGATTATGTTCACAGAAATACCGTAGGTCTGGTACATTCTTTACATGAGGTCACACAACTCGGGTAATATTCACGGTGAAAATGTGCATATTTGAGCGGTCGAACGAAAAAAGTCATTTCTCGAAAACTAAAATATATTTCGCAAAAAAACTACACCACAATTATAAGAACATATTGGGCAACAAAATAAGAAAGTAGGAGAGAAAACGAATTTCGGGCGACTTGCCAAAATATTTCAAATTTGTTGGATGGATGCTGACATCCTCTCTTAAATCATTTGAATTAGCTAATGAGCGTGTGCCTGAAATTGAACACTAATAAGGGGGTGAAGTAACCCGCCTAGCCTTGGTCGAAAAGTAAAACGCCTTTACATACAATCTTACAACCCCGGGGTGCTGGGGTAAGGTTTCTTTCGGTTTTTGTTGCGCATTCAATTAGGGAAGTTGAGCAAAAAAAGAGAAAGACGAAAGATTAATTTTCGGACACGAATGTATTTATTCATGAAATCGTCACGAGTTGTGTCACGCGGTGAAATATAGCCGATTTTCAACGCTAAATATTCCGAAATGTGAACACTTCACACTCCTTGAGTGTCCGTTGCGGTTTCTGGTGATTTCTGCCATGGGACGGTTAGGAAATGTACAAAGTTTTTAAAACACGTGTTTCACTTTTGAGCTTTTTGCCATGAACGCGACCTCGGCTAGGGGGGTTGCCCCACCTTGAGACGTTTACATGGCAAATTGTCACCCCGGCTGACAGGGTTACCCTACCTGGCAGACCGGGAAACCCGCCTAGGCGGGTCAACCACCTATCATGTAAACGTGATTGAAATAAAATAAGAAATTATATGGACAGGCGGGTTACCTCACCTACCTGGGGTCCCCCACCTACATGTAAACAAGCCCTAAAAATGAAAGTCCGTAATTGCGCGCGTCAGGGCGTAACTGCCTACTCTCTTTTTTAAAAATTTTTTTTTTAATTTTTTTTATGAATTCCATAAATGCGTAAAAAAATTCGATTTAGTTTTTTTGGATCTTTGAGAGATGATTCGAAAAGTGAAAAGACTTTCATGTGGCACTTGCTTATAATGGTCGAAAAACGAGAAAAAAAAAACAAACCCAACAGAATATTGAATAACACTGTTCGTTTTTTCTGATCCAACACTAGGCCGGCGGTGAGGAAACTTGTTTTAACTTTGCAATACTCTTGGTGCAACCTCAGTGAATAACACAGTTGTAATATTGACTCAGTTGTAATCGAGCCAAGATACATGATTTATCAGATCACGAGACAAAACTCGTAGCATTGTATTATATAACCATTGCTTCAATATTTGCGCAACCTCGACGAATGAAAGCAAGCTGTAAGCAAACATTTTTAACTTGTTTGGTTTAGAAGAGGGTGTCTGTGGGGTGATGGGTGACTTTGGACATTAAAAACTCCGGTTGATATCTTCTAATAAGATGTTCGAAAGCATAGAAATACAAAAAAATCTTGCGTTTGTTAATTTCCTTCGCCGCAGTGACTTCAAATTTTTAGTGATTTTGCTACCGTCACAGATGAATCATGCAAATTAGTCTGTTGAGCAAACTCTGACTGTTCTATATCAATGGCTCCCTGTAGTTTGGTCCTGAAATGTTCATACAGGTTTAAATAGCTCAAGCTCTCTAAACTCAAATAGGAAAGAACACAAACCATTTCTTTAAAAGAGAGTTGCTCGTTAAAACGCTGACCGATCGCTAATCAGTACGATAGTCAATACGTTTTGTTCGTCTCTTGTTTCACATATCACAAGAGGCAAGTGATCAGTTAAAACTTGAAGTATTGACGAGCCTGCATGACATTCCTGCCATCCGGAAGCGATTTTAAACTTCTGTCTTCATAGATTAGTTTTGATCAGGATATATTTTGGAAGAGGAGTGGTTGACAAGGATCTTTTAAGATGCTACATCAAATTTATTCCTCAAATATTGAAGATTTTGTTAACTAAACCTTACAAAAGGCTTTGAAAAAAAAATTTAATCAGATTGTAGTGGTTCGTTTTATATCTAAACTACTGTTTTAACTTTACTGATTTCGCTTTACTTTAAAGCCTTACTTACGTCAACGTTTTTCTGTGCTTGTGATATTGGAAATATAATTTTTGCGTTGTTCAGTTGAAGGTTTCTTTATTCTTCTCTTTCTTACATACAACTTATTACCTCGGGACTAACTCAGATCTAACAAGAAAAGTGTGGGTCTCCACTTATAAAAGGGACGCTTACTGAGCTGCCAATCTCTAACCTTCGTCATCCTTTTACACTTAACTAGCGAATCACGTTAAGCTACGCAGAGTGGAGTTCGCATACTAAGTAGATACCTTCGAGATGTTTACGCTTTACAAAATCCTTAAATTTCTTAGTCTTACAGTCAAGGTTGGTCATAACTAAAACAAGATTGATAATATAAAAATTGTAATGGAATAACCAACAGAATTAGAATCATACTTGAAAATATATCTTAAGAGGAAATACTCCTCGAAGACTGTTACATAACAGCACAATAAACAGAAAATTCGGAGAAGAAAGGGCGTACCCAAGGTACCGCCCCTAAAAGAGCTACGTGCTGTTCGTATAAGTTACCTGATTATAAATTCAGTGCGGAGGATGAAAAGTACTACTTGTTTACACCTTAAGTCACCTCTAAGAAAAAGAGGTGTCGAGCGTGCTAAATTATACCTGTAAGATAAGACCGCCAAAAGGAATAAGAAATGATCAACTGGCTTATTATAATTTTTACTGAATGGCTTATGCTAATATACTATTTCCATTCATTTCCAACGTTTAAATAAGTAAAAAAAAAACACTGGATAGATACAAATTTTGTCTTTTAACAATATTGAAAAAGAAAGCACAAAAAATTGAACTAGATCTAATTTGGGATAGCTCCTTTTTTAATTTCAATGAAATACCGGATAAAGTATGTTCTCTACTTTGCTCTATTCAATTTATGCATCTAAAAGTCTTTTGGCTCTGTTTCCTTCGAGTGATTCTCATTATTTACTCTGTCGGGGTCTCTTTCTCTGTAAAAAAAAGTGAAAAAAAAAACAGCAATTTATTATTAACTCGATTAATATTTTGGATATGAAGCAAATACAATTATACCAAGCTTAATATCTAAAAATATAAATGGCTAGCACTTGTATGTGATTGGCAGAGAGGCCCTTTCGAGATTCTATATTTACACCAGAGAGCGTCGATAGTAACTCTCCGAAAAGAAAAGAAAAAAATATATGTATATGGATATATACCGAACTACCCTTGATGGTAACAAAGGACCCCCGCCGACAGTCACCGACCAGTAAATCACAGCTACCTTCACATCTACTTAGACTTTAATTTGTGAAATATCTTTTCGGACTGAGTCTTACCTCTGCTTGTCAAACCCGAGTCTCACATCATCTCCAATCAGCGTAAACGAAGCCCACTCAGACACACTGGTAGACTTGCTTTTTCTCATCCACTTCATGGCCTGATGGAGGGATTCACTGGCACTTTCTCCCTCTACAAGGTGTTCGTAGAACCGACTCATCAGCTGCTCTGTTGCTGAGTCTGAAATGGCCCACAGCGCAACCAACACCGAGCGAGCACCGGATCCTAAGAACGCACGGGCAATTCCTATAACTCCCTCGGCTCTAATGTCACCTCTTCCACTGTGACAGCAGCTAAGTACCACCAGTTTAGCTCTGACTTTCACTCGTGATACATCAGCCATCGTCAACATGTAATCTTCATGTGGTAAGATAGCGTTTCGCCTGTTGGAAGTACTAGGGATGGGGGAGAGGGCAATTTCTCCCCTTTCGGCGTCACCATGGGCAGCAAAATGAATCAGGCTCACTGAACTTATCCGCTCAAGCACCGCCTGCTTCGTTGCTTCTTCTCCTACCAGAGGCGGAACACCCACCAGTCGTCCGACCATCTCCGCTTCCTTTCTTGCACCTGGCAATGGTGGCAGCCAATTAACCTTAGGGTTGCCTATTATCAAGGCACCAGTGTTGCTGTGATAGTCCTCTGGGCTATCTTGAATAATCTTGAGTGTTGTCAAAGAAGGAATGACACGGATTCTATGAGTCTCCGAGAGGTATTGGGCTCCCTCCTTTTCACTCAGTGCAGCAAAGGGAACTTTGTACAAACTGCGGTCAGGAACGATAATGACTTCAGGCTCCTCAAGCAAATCATAAACGGGAGCAATAAACATTTTGTAACACAAAAATAGACTTGAAATCACTTTCTCGTCCTCATCCTCGTCCTCGTCCTCCTCCACGAGTCGCAATCTTGCTGAGCTCTTCTGTGCGGGGGAGAGAGGTTGCAATTTAACCATATTTAAAGACCGATCTTCACAATCTTTAGTGGGCAAAATACCAAGACTCCGGAAATTATCATCCAAAAATTTACTCAAACGCAAATCTTTGGGCAACCCAGCATGAACTAGATTCTCTTCTACTGATATTCTTCTATAGTGAAGGACTCCACTTTTCTTTAAGATCCACAAACGCAGATCACTGTGAAAATAAGAAATGTACAGACAAGTACAGTTATTTTTCTTTCTAAAAATGTTCTCAACGCCAAACCAAGATTGCGGATTAGCAGAGATGTGCGTTCCAACCGAGTACTTCTCTACCATTAAGTCTGATAGGCCTCTAGCTCGACCCAACTCCTCAACATAAAGAGCATCCCGAGCATTTCCGGTGTCACAAAGCAAACTACAAAGCAGCTTGTAGGGAAATATTCCTGAGTGCTCCAGAAATGATGTTTTGAACTGATCATTGGCGCCTAAGAAATATCTCAGCTCCTCATACTTTTCAATGCAGAGATAAAGACACGAACGGGATTCTTTTTTTTTATCTTGCGACAAATACAAAATGGCGTAACTTTGAAGGATTTCGAACTCTTTTCTTCTATCTCCAATATCTCTGGATATCGATAAAGCTTTCTCCAAGCATACTTCTGAGGCTTCATAATCTCCCATAGCTCTACACACACATCCAAAGTTTGCAAGATCTGCTACTTTCCCTTCTTTATCACCAATTTCAGATCTGATGACGAGTGCTTTTTGGAGATACTCTTTAGCCTTGGCGTATTGTCCGAGCGAATGAAACACAGTACCTAGGTTTCCATAACATGTTGCTTTCCCATTTCTGTCACCAATTTCAGTTCTGATGACAAGCGCCTTTTGGAGATACTCTCTAGCCTTGGCGTATTGTCCGAGCGACAAAAACACAGTACCTAGGTTTCCATAACATGATGCTTTCCCATTTCTGTCGCCAATTTCAGTTTTGATGACAAGCGCTCTTTGGAGATACTCTTCAGCTTTGTCGTATTGCCCGAGCGACTCAAACAAATTACCAAGATTTCCGTAGTCAGTTGCCTCTCCTTTTCTGTCACCAATTTCAGTTCTGATGACAAGCGCCTTTTGGAGATACTCTTGAGCCTTGTCGTATTGCCCGAGCGACTGAAACACAGTACCTAGGTTTCCATAACATGTTGCTTCTCCTTTTCTGTTGCCAATCTCAGCTTTGATGACAAGCGCCTTTTGGAGATACTCTTTAGCCTTGTCGTATTGCCCGAGCGACTCAAACACAGTACCAAGATTTCCGTAGTCAGTTGCCTCTCCTTTTCTGTCACCAATTTCAGTTCTGATGACAAGCGCCTTTTGGAGATACTCTCTAGCCTTGGCGTATTGTCCGAGCGACTGAAACACAGTACCTAGGTTTCCATAACATGTTGCTTTCCCATTTCTGTCGCCAATTTCAGTTTTGATGACAAGCGCTCTTTGGAGATACTCTTCAGCTTTGTCGTATTGCCCGAGCGACTGAAACAAATTACCAAGATTTCCGTAGTCAGTTGCCTCTCCTTTTCTGTCACCAATTTCAGTTCTGATGACAAGCGCCTTTTGGAGATACTCTTGAGCCTTGTCGTATTGCCCGAGCGACATAAACACAGTACCAAGGTTACCGTAGTCCGTTGCCTCTCCTTCTCTGTCGCCAATTTCAGTTCTGATGACAAGCGCCTTTTGGAGATACTCTTGAGCCTTGTCGTATTGCCCGAGCGACTTAAACACAGTACCTTACCGTAGTCCGATGCCTCTCCTTCTCTGTCACCAATTTCAGTTCTGATGACAAGCGCCTTTTGGAGATACTCTTGAGCCTTGTCGTATTGCCCGAGCGACTCAAACAAATTACCAAGATTTCCGTAGTCACTTGCCTCTCCTTTTCTGTCACCAATTTCAGTTCTGATGACAAGCGCCTTTTGGAGATACTCTCTAGCCTTGGCGTATTGTCCGAGCGACTGAAACACAGTACCTAGGTTTCCATAACATGTTGCTTTCCCATTTCTGTCGCCAATTTCAGTTTTGATGACAAGCGCTCTTTGGAGATACTCTTCAGCTTTGTCGTATTGCCCGAGCGACTCAAACAAATTACCAAGATTTCCGTAGTCAGTTGCCTCTCCTTTTCTGTCACCAATTTCAGTTCTGATGACAAGCGCCTTTTGGAGATACTCTCTAGCCTTGGCGTATTGTCCGAGCGACTGAAACACAGTACCTAGGTTTCCATAACATGTTGCTTTCCCATTTCTGTCGCCAATTTCAGTTTTGATGACAAGCGCTCTTTGGAGATACTCTTCAGCTTTGTCGTATTGCCCGAGCGACTCAAACAAATTACCAAGATTTCCGTAGTCAGTTGCCTCTCCTTTTCTGTCACCAATTTCAGTTCTGATGACAAGCGCCTTTTGGAGATACTCTTGAGCCTTGTCGTATTGCCCGAGCGACATAAACACAGTACCAAGGTTACCGTAGTCCGATGCCTCTCCTTTTCTGTCACCAATTTCAGTTCTGATGACAAGCGCCTTTTGGAGATACTCTCTAGCCTTGGCGTATTGTCCGAGCGACTGAAACACAGTACCTAGGTTTCCATAACATGTTGCTTTCCCATTTCTGTCGCCAATTTCAGTTTTGATGACAAGCGCTCTTTGGAGATACTCTTCAGCTTTGTCGTATTGCCCGAGCGACTGAAACAAATTACCAAGATTTCCGTAGTCAAGTTCTGATGACAAGCGCCTTCCGTATTGCCCGAGCGACTGAAACAGCTTACCAAGATTTCCGTAGTCAGTTGCCTCTCCTCTTCTTTCACCAATTTCAGTTCTGATGAGAAGTGCTCTTTGGAGATACTCTTCAGCTTTGTCGTATTGCCCGAGCGACAGAAACACATTAGTCAGTTGCTCTCCTTTCTGTCACCAATTTCAGTTCTGATGACAAGCGCCTTTTGGAGATACTCTTGAGCCTTGTCGTATTGCCCGAGCGACATAAACACAGTACCAAGGTTACCGTAGTCCGATGCCTCTCCTTCTCTGTCACCAATTTCAGTTCTGATGACAAGCGCCTTTTGGAGATACTCTCTAGCCTTGGCGTATTGTCCGAGCGACTGAAACACAGTACCTAGGTTTCCATAACATGTTGCTTTCCCATTTCTGTCGCCAATTTCAGTTTTGATGACAAGCGCCTTTTGGAGATACTCTTGAGCCTTGTCGTATTGCCCGAGCGACATAAACACATTACCAAGGTTACTGTAGTCCGATGCCTCTCCTTCTCTGTCACCAATTTCAGTTCTGATGACAAGCGCCTTTTGGAGATACTCTCTAGCCTTGGCGTATTGTCCGAGCGACTGAAACACAGTACCTAGGTTTCCATAACATGATGCTTCTCCTCTTCTGTCGCCAATTTCGGTAGCTATAGCAAGGGCCCTCTCAAAATATTCCTTCGCCTTTAGGTTTTCGCCAAGTGTTTGAAGCATAATTCCAGACTTTATGTATAAGACAAACAGCATCTTGCTGAAAAGAACTATAAAGATGTCTTTGCTGTTTTGATCGGTGCTATTTAGCAAAATCAAACATTCCCTGCATATCTCAATTGCTTTCTGAATGCGATTTGAGTTGAGCAAGAACATGGAAACAAGTAAGGCGATGAAAGCTATCATGGCTTCTGCTCTTAGGTTTCCATTGCCATCCTCTCCTGTAACCAGGGAAAAATTATTTTTAGTAACGCAATACAAAGTGATTCGATAATCTGGATTCATAATGAGTCACTACAAACCGGAACACACATGTTAAGTTACAAAAGCAAGCTTGGTCGATTTCACCTTGAAACTTTTTGTAACGAGCTGAAAGTGTTAGAATTCACTATATCGGCTTGAAAAAAAATTGAAGAAGGGTGTGGATAAGTACAACTGGAACACATCAACGGATCACATTCGGTGAAACTTTTAAAATTTTATTTGACCTGCGCAGATTCTTTGAAACAGACTGCGTGACTGTCACGCTATGAAAGTCATCTGTTATCCAAATGATTTTTGGTCCAGCTGTTTCGTTTATTCTTCTTATCAAGTAAAAAAAAAATGACGCATCCTTGAGTTTGATTAACGATCGTATGTCGGGGGGTAGCGCCATCAATTGGGTGGTTTTGAAAGGTTGCAGGTTTCTTAAAAAAATAAGAAGGATTGATAAACCTTTTACTACAACGTTCTGGGAATATTTGAAAATGTTGTTCTAGCAGTTTATCACCAGGTAATGAGCTTACTTATCTGAAGTAGATGGCTGAAAACGAATCTATTCGTTACTGATGAGGATGATTGCCTGGATTTGAGGTACAAGTGGTTTGACAAACTCGGTTTGTCACCTTTCATTTTACTTAAGTTGCGATTTTTGCACAACATCACATGACTGTAAAGTCACAAGACAAAGATAAAAAAAAACAGCATTTATCTTAGCTTTTGCTATGAGAACTTTCCCATGCATAGTTTCAATAAACAACATTAATCAACGGGGTAAGTTTCTAAAGCAACTGGTGGGATATACAAAATAATTTGGCTTTGTTATTATTTGGTACATTATAATTTGACCGTTGTTATTTGAATTTAATATATTTCACAGGAATTATTAATTTGACTTATGATTGGTCCAGGTGCTTCTTTTCCTTTTGTTATTCAAATTTTCTTTTTAAATTAGCATATTTATATATTTTTTGTTTTTTCTCTCTGCGTTGTAACCGTCTTATTCGTGTGAGCGGAATAAAATAAGCAAAAGTTCGTTTTCAATGGTGAAAAATAACTAGGCTTTACCAACTGAGTTGACATTGTAAATTGGTCATTGTAATGAGTTTCTGAAGCTGACGTTTTGAGCGTTAGCCCTTCATCAGAGCATTTGATAATCTTAGGGAATCAATGATGTTGTATTACCAGTATTCCGCAAAGAAACCAGCGATAACCGCGATTATCCTATGACATCAGCAATGAAATAAATATATTTTCTTCTATAAAAAGATTAATTGCGTAATTGTGAAAACAATCAGTCTCTGCAATTACGGTTATTCACAATGTGATATGCAAACATAAAAATCGGAAAAGCATTCATAAGGCTATCCCATCAGAGCCTTACTTCTCTAGAGTGACTAAATAACCATAGATGATAAAACATGAGTACCTATAAAAGTTCTTTAGTCTTTATTTACTTAATTTAATCACTACTAAAGATGTTGACGATATAGCTGATGCTTTTGAAACAATAAAAGAACTAAGTTTTCCAAACATTCCGAAACTTGTGCTTTCACTGTTTTTTAGGGTATCCCCATGTTTTGAGTATCCAGATCACTTCTGTTTTGGGTATCCCCTCTTGGCTATTACTTTGAAAGTGAAACGACAAAAATAATAGGGATCTTAAGCAAACGACGACGGCGACGGCGACGGCGACGGCAACGAGGACATGAAAAAACAAAAGATCTAATTGGCAGAACAATAGCTCAGCACGTGTGTTTTAAAACTTTGTACATTTCTTTCCATTTGGAACTCAACGCTTCTTTGATACGTTATGCTGAAGTTGAGGTGTGGCGCCTTATGAGACGGTAAACAAATGCAGCCATTTTTAAAATTCTGATTAAAAACAGAAATTTATTTTTTAATCGAAGTCTTCCTTGGTTTTTCCATCATGACTGCTTAAGGTCCCTAATGACAGTAGGGACCTGTCTAATTGGACGGTGAAATAGGACAGTTAAAGGGATTATCAATAAAGGGCAAAATTACTGAGCGCTGATTGGTTGAGAGAGAGGGCATTTTTTCTTAATCGAGGGCATTTTTAGTAATCAAGAGAGGGCATGATTACCTGTTAATGATTGGCTAATCCGTTGCATAGCAACCGTTCGTTATCTTGAAATTTGTTAAAAATTGACTGCGCACGTGATTTTCCTTCGTATAAATTTTGCCCTTTATTGATAAACAAGTAATCCCATGAGACCTCGTACTATTAAGGATTAATTGCACTTGAGTTTTCAAAATTTTCCAAATTTTGGAAAATTTTGAAAACTCTCGTGCAATTAATCCTTAATAGTACTTGGCCTCATGTGATTACATATACTAATTAACACGCCATGCCTGTGTGAGTGGACAGAACGCGTCATGCGCGCACGCTGTTGTCCCGCATTCCGCCGAGTTCACTGTTGTTGCTGGCTTTTTTTATATGACGCATCACCGATATCTAGTTTCTTTTCTCAAATTTTGTCATAGTTTTGATTAATTGGTAACAGGACATCGTGTCGTCCAATTCTATCAGTAATCATACTCTTGATTAACAAATCGGACTTCCGCTTCGCGGTCGTCCGATTTTGTTCACAGACCGAATTGGACTCTACTCGGTCCTATTACCATTATTAACCATAACCACTACAATTTCCTCAAAAATTTTCCTTAAAAAGGAAAACTGGGGGGATTTCCAAAATGAAGTAATTTTTACTTTTCCCGTTGTCTCTACCGGAGATATTTGTCCAAAATGTATTTATTGTTTTCGGAAATTTTTAATCACTCGGTATGATTACAGACCGAATTAGATTCCACGCGGCCCTATTACCATGATAATCAATCATAAAGTTGCAATTTATTCGATTGTGATTGGTTTAAAAAATTCCCATTATCCACTGATTCACTTGCCAAGTTGTTATCGGACAGTTTGTTATCCAAAAAGTTTGTTATCGAACAGTTCAAAAAAACCTTAAGCTGGCATTTTGATATAAATCTAATTCACGAAAGTTTGCCTGATGGTCGGCATTTTGACTTTAACTTTGAACTAATGTTTTTGAAGCACAGCTAAGCGAAGCATGGAAACAGGTTTCTACGTAGACTCCAATATGTAAATGCGCCACCAGCTTACTCGCTCACTGACCCATTCAGGTGTAGACACTACTGGGAATAAGTAACTTTGATCTAGTTCTTTTATGATCCAAACAGAACTTTTGGATTTACTCATCACGTGAGGAAACTCAAAAACTTTCCCCCCTCCTCAGTCACTTATTTCTCCAAAGGCAACTTGTTCATATTTTCAGCGATTGCGGAGTGCTTTTATTGCGTAGCTTGACAATTAGACAACGTTAATATTACTGGAAAACGAAAGCCCCTAAGAAATCAGTATTCTACTTTCAAAAATAGAAAAACACAAAACAAATTTTAATTCAGCCGCAGGCAAATCAATTAATTATTCATTGTGAGTATTCAAAGAAGCAGGCAAGGAATACAGTCATCGGTATGATATCTACTTTCCCTTTTCTTAGATTTTTGGGTGTTTTTTCGTGGTGATCTGTGGTGACCATATATTGACTACTGACTCAAAGTAGTATTCAATGAGTGTTAAGCGTTAACAGTCTTCGCCCGACCAGGAAGATACACCTTAATTACTACAGCCTTCTAGAAACCTTAATGACATTGTGCAATATGGCAACATTCGAAAACATTGTTTTAGTAGTTTATAACCTGGCAATGAGCTTACTCATCAAACCAATGTCGCTGGAAACGAGCTTTTTCATAGCTGATGAGGATGATTGGTAAGATTTGAAGCCAGTAAGGTTTAACGAAGTCGCTTTGAAACAAACTCATTCACTTCGCTCGCGATTTTTGCATAACATTACATGACTTGATAGGCATAGGAAAAATGTCAACAAAACAACATTCATTTT